CAAAACCTATATACAGAAAACTTTTTATATGTGGATGAATAAGTGCATGATTCTGGGATGGGGCCCACAGCTTTCACAAAATTCTCAGAGGTCAATGACCCAAAAAAGATTGAGCACTATCACATTAGAATTGCGTGAGTCATTAAGTAAATAGCTATTTGGGGAAACAGAGGAGCATCCTTTTTGATCTTTCAGGCTAGCTAGAATATTTATCTCCCTCAAAAGACTGCTAGTTCCTACAGAAGAGGCTAGGCGCTGGTGTTTTCTAAGAAGGCTTGGGGGTTTATTCTATCCTAGGTAACCATGCAGACCTTTAGCATTTACTCTTAGGGATACCAAAGCTTTTTCTTCAAGAGGAGGCCACATAAATAAAATCCACATGAATGAAGACTACTTGAATTAGGTACCAGCCATTCTTATGGAGGGTTTAGTCCTACCTATTATCCCCTTACATTGTTCCAGCTTTGTGATCTACTTAGATTAAGGTAAGGTTTTTTAAAAAGGATTTTGTATTTCTTTCATCAAAACAACATCTACATATTCTTGAAAAATGATTCTTGTTGCTCATATGAATTGATGAATCCCTTATAATAATCCAGTGGAACCCTCCAGAAACTACAGGTTGGGACCATTGACTTACATCACTAAAACTAATATGGGGGAAGAAAATAGGCATGTGGAGTTTATAATACAGAACGTTCCCATTTGGAAAATTAAAAATGTTAATAAAGCTGACTTAAAAAAAACTTTTTAGTTGGCATAAGTAAGCAGCAAAGACACATTCCGTGTAGCTCTACTGGTCAAGAAGCTTTCAAATATCAGGAGGAAAGTTTCAGAATTTCTAAGAAAAGGGTGCATGAATTTTTTATTTTTCTTAAAAGTGGGTGTGGGCTGTGGAAAATATCACACTAGACTTTCTTCAGCTTTTCATTTCCCTTCTCTTTGCCTTAGGACTGCCAAACACACAATTTATATTTTCTAACACTTCTGACATTTTGGTTAGTATTGAAGGTATTTAAAAAGTAATATCCTCTTTTTTTTTCTTGATGCCCTAAGAAATGTATCCCCATTCATCCTATATTACTTTTTTCTTTAATAATGATATTTTTTTGATAATAAAGTATTCATTAGATTGCACCCTTGGTCAGTGGAGAGTTATGATCAGTTATTTATTAAATAATTAATCCTACGTTTTGAAAGATTTTCAGATGATGTAAAACCATTTTTTAATGGCCTACAAAATCTGTACTGGAGAGATGTGCCTCATTGAGTATTTGCAATTATCTGTCTGAATTGTCAGACTGAAGCATTTTTTAAAGTCCTCTAAAATCTAAACCAGGCCTGTTTCTTGGGTCCCCATTCTTTGTAAGACTCTTATTTATTCAGTCTTCACCAGAATGCTCCCTACCTTAAAGTGAACTTCATTTTAGGAATTCCAATTGCTTGTGTTCTGTATGTGGCAGACAAGAGTATTACAAACACAGGTCTAGGATAAGACAGCCTTGATTTTTCAACTTTGCTATTAATAACTACGTAAGTTTGGGTAACTTGCTTAAGTTCTCCAAGCCCCAGTGTCCTGTAAAATTGAGAGAATTATTGTACCTACAACTCATATGGTGGTTGTGAAGTTAAATGTTACGCATGCAAATTGCACAGCACAGTGCCTGACACACAGTAAGGGTTCAATAAAAGTTAGTGATTATGGTAACAATGATGAATTTGTGTTTCTATAGTCTTTTATTTTCACTGCCTCCCTGCTTCTAATGTCAGCAATCACCTTCCAAGCCTGATGAAGATAGGAGTAATATCATAAAAACTAAAACCTCACAGTAAGAGGTTACTAATCCAAAAGTAAAATTCACTCTATTCTCCTTTTAATACAGTCAACGGTCATCTCTGGTCATTTGTATATCAAGTCAAAGGATAAAGCAAAGAAGCAGAAGAAAGAAAGACATTAGTATGAATACAAGTGTTTCTTTGGTAGCAAGAACATACTGGATGTAAGCCATAGGAAGACATGAGGAAGAAAACAAAGTTGGGAAAACAACAACTAGAAGAAAGCAGAAGGCAGTGATCTAAAAGAGCAAGAGAAATAAAAAGACTGGAAGGAGAATTTTAGGCAAAACGATTTATGTGGATATATTTAGAAAAGAGAGTATTATTTTAAGACGTGAGAGAAATGGGATTTGCTAAAGCAGGGTAGCTTGAAAGGCTACAAATGAAAAGAGCAAGGCATTTTGTAGGGTAAAAAGCAGTATTACATGTGAGTAAGCTAATAAAATTTTTCACAGGCTAGCAATATGAAGAGGTATCTGCAAGGTTGGGCTAACCAACCAAAAATAACACAGAAATGTGCATGCTAACATTTATGTGCTTGGCTATATTTATTAATCCTAAACATAGTTTAGGAGCATTAAAAGAAAAATCTATTCAGTTGTCAACATGGGCCATTATTAAGGCTTGTCCCTTTAAAGATATGATCTATAAACTAATGAAAATTCCTTAGTTTTCTAATCAAGCTACATGTCTGAAATTTCACAATAATTTCCTTTCCTAATAAAGCATTTCCTCAAGCTAGAACTACAATCTTTTTTACCAAAGAGAGGTGCCTTACTGGAATCCACTAACAAAAATAAATTTAAAAATCAAAAATAGTATAATTTAAAAATCAATGGGAATTATGTAGACTCAAAAGTTCCACACCTCTATTGGGTTTTTTTCCCCCAAATCAAGTCAATAAGAGCCAAATGAAAAAGAATAACTTGCTTAAAATTATATCTAACAGTTTACAAGTTGCTGAAATTTAATGTATATTCAGTCTCAGCTGTGCTTACCAAAGAAAGCTATAAATATCATCTGAACTAGCACCAGTCTGGTGAGAAAAAAAGTGTACTGTACCAAGCAGACTTGCTGTGTTATCTGTTCAAACATACCTGTACCAGTCAAAAGTCCAGCACTCTTCTTTCGTGCATAAGCGCGTAAGTGGTTGGACAGGCTAACAGCACTTGTAAACGTCGTATTGCAATGCACACATGTTCTAAGCTTCACAGGCATACCTATCATTCAAAAGAAAACTATAATCCAGTTCTCACTTCAAAAAGTGAAATTTTCTTAGCTAAAAGTGTGAAGAAAAGTACCACAATAAGGATGGTTTAAAAAAACGTTCATTGAATTAGCTTAACTTAAAATAAAGAGGGGGAATTAAGTTAACTATTATTAGTTTGTTGTTAGTATTTAGAGCCAACCCATGCTCTTTGGAAATGTGGAAGAGGAGTGCCTTGAACCTCTGAGCTCCTCTGGATTTAACACCTATTATCACTTTCTTGCAGATTTCTGTGTTACGCAGATCATTTCCTAAACCTAAAATACAATCCTGTGATTTGAAGAGCACAGTTCAGTTGAGAAGTTTCAAAGCTTACAACATTACCAATAAAAAGAATTAAAAAGTCTAGTTGACAAAGTGGTAATTAAAGTGTTTTACCCACAAAACCGTAAAAGGCTCAATACTAAATTAGGTTTTCTGATGAAGGCTGGGAGGAAAGGTGGTAAAACACACCATTGAGCAGCTGTTAGACACAACATTTTATTCAGGGCATTTTATGTTCATTACCCTGAATGCGCAATCAATAATGAAAGTTAATGATCTGAAGTTTTTTGCTAAAATCTTTGTGTTAAATAAATGATCAACAAGCTAACATCTTAGTCATCACAGGAAAGAAAACATGTTGAAACAATAAGAAACTCCTAACTTCAAAGATAATCCTCACTCCCCCAACTCCTTTCAGTTGGTTTCTTCAACAGTAACTATGATAATCAGCCACAAATACACTTTCCATCTCTCAAGTGTACTACACCTTAGTCAACACAACTAACACACCTTTCTTACATTTTCTCCTTCTTAAAAAGGTTGAAGATTTGACTTTAAAAGACTCTCTTCATACAAAAGAAAGAACCCTATTAACCAGAAACCCTTGACAAGACAGTTTTACAGGCCACTTACAACGCAAGGTAATCTTTCCTTAAATCAAAACTGCATACAAATATCTGAGCTATCCTAATGTCTGCCAAAGTAAACAAATCAACATTACCATAATTGTATTCATTGTTAATCCACTGACGAGTTACTTTTACCTTAGACACATTCAACTCAGGGCTAAATTATGAGACCCTCTAAGTTCATCTTCAACATTCTTTACCTCCAAAAGAAACCTACAAAGACACTTAAAATTTTTCTAGTCTAAAAGTATAAGCCAGACTTATAAGAACACATAGAGTTTGGCTATTTTTATCTGCTACATCATTTGCCAGCACACACAAACTATTCTTTTGGAAACGAAAAACTACTGGTGCACAAGCACTAACCTAGATCATCTGTTCCGTTCTTTTAGACCACCACTGTAAAATCTAAAACCCCAAACAAATGTTTTATACTTAACAACAGTTCTCCAAAACCAAACTATCCCACAATATAATGAGGAATTGGAGAGGGAGACGTTTCTTTGGGTTAATCACAACACACAACAGACACCAATCCATTCGGTTTAAAGAGTTCTATTTTTTGTTTGTTTGTTTGTTTATTCGTTTGACCTAAGCAGAAGGAAAACCAACAGCTATATCTTGAAAACATTATCACCTTGGAGCACTGGCAAATATAGGACAGGTATGTCATTTCAGTAATGCTACGCTTTTGAACAATATTAACCTCCCATCCACAGGACCATCCCCCAGCCACAGCAAATTTTATTTTTACAGATCAGCTTTTTGTTTGTTTTTGTTCTCACCTTACATTCTGACCAAGAAATGAGGCACAGAGAATTCAGTGCTGATGAGCATCAACTGATGATTTATATAGAAATGACAGTATAACCAATCTCTGCTCTGCAAAAAAAGCAGCTTAAGTAAAATGATTCTAATAAAGTATTTTCTACAAATATTCCATACAAGTAAGCATAATTAAATTGTGTTTAAACTCTATATGACAGTCATAAACATCCTCTTACCTGAGTGCATAGTCAAATCCATCCTCTGTGGTTGATACATCAATGGACTGTCTTCACTTAATGGAAGAACACACTTCTGAACAAATCTCTTTCTTGCAGTTTGATTATGAATTTTTTGAGGAGAAATAGCAGAATTCCTTTCTTCTCCCATCCTTTTATTTTTAAGCAGTTCTATCAGTGTAAGAGACTGATTCTTTTTTCCACTGGGCAGTTCTGGTTTCGTTTCATCATATTCATTTAAGAAACTCAGCCCTTCTTCTTCTGATGCAGACACTGATAAAGCTTCAGTCTTTAGGCCATTACGGTATGCTTCAAGAGGTATAACATTTTGAGATAGAAAGTCATCACTTGATGCAAGTTTTTGAGCTACAAATGGTCTGGGAATAATACGACGACTGTTCAATGCTTTCAAGATTTTTTCATATTTTTCTTCATTTTGCATCATCTCATTCAAAACACAGATCGGAGATTTGTGAGCATCCCATTTGGTCTTTCCAAGTCTTTTCAGATGGCCTCTAACATGATTCGATAATCCAATTTTAGTATCAAACCAACCACCACAGAGCTGACAAGTGTGTTCAGAAGTGGTTTCAGACTTCTCTATAGCTAAAAAAAATTTTTTAAGAGTAACATCAGAATTTCTTATAAAGTAATCATCTTAAAGCCAATTAACTCTGAAATATAAAATTATGTGATCCTAATAAAGACCAAATTTGAGCATAATCTTTGAATCCTTTGAATTTGAATACAGACATATTAACCCAAATTATCTACATGGAAACTTACCTTTTCTAACTCGCTTAACAGGTGTCCCTGTGCCAGTTCTTTTGAAATGTTGCATTTTGTCACTTGTGGCTATTTGTTCTGGTGATACAACATGACGGGCTTCATAGCTTAATCCAGCTCTGTGAAGATGTCCTCGGACATGATTTGACAACCCAACACCTGTTTCAAATGTTGCTGGGCAGTAAGGACATGATTTCTTCTCAAGAGACAAATCAGTCCAGTGAAAAACAGAACTATGCTTTGACAATGAAGTTTCTGCATTTTCTAAATGCTGAGGATCATGTATGTCATGCAAAAAGTTATTAGTTCCAGCATCTTCATAATATTCAAAATAAAAGCCATCGTTCTGATCGTAACTAAGGGTAGCATTTTCTCCAGGCTCTTGACCTTCCACCTTGCTTTTAAACAGCGGGAATAAGTTCACATGTTCTTGATTAATATCATTATAGGTTTCATCTTCTATAGCCTGTGTAGTGTAGTCACCTAGCTCAACATTATCCCAGGAACTTTCATCTTCTGTTTCATAGCTATCTTTCTTTTCAGCGGAATTAAGTTTTTGCAAAACAACAACGGTCATTTTATGTAAGAAATCTGGATAGCTATCCAAGTCTTCTCCTCCAACAGAACTTTCCTTCTTAGATTCCTTCACTACTCTCTTTACAGCTACACGCCTATGCTCTTTGAAGCTTTCTGGCCTTTTGGTGTCAGAGTTTTGAGGGTCTGAAATGAAACTATTGTTGTGAGAATTACTTGATGACGAGAACAGATGTAAAGAATTTAATGAACTGGCTTCTTCTTTTTTGAAATGTAGAGGATATGATTCACCTGATTTTTTGATCATCCTGTAGTTTTCATATTTGTGTCTATATAAATAGTTGCTATTTGCCTTGGCATTAGATTTTTCTTTTGCTGCTTGATGGAAATACTTAGGTTTTTGGTCAGTGCTGCTTTTAATCATAACAGTCTTGTGAGAATTGTTTTGATTGCACACATTTACACCTGACTGGGCAATGCTTTTCCGAGCTTTTTGTATTCTGTGTGGCCGCTTATGGAATTTGGAAAAATTACTTGATTGTGAGGATGATCCAAATGTTCGCTTTACATCTTGTTTTAAAGCAGAGTTCTTTGGAAATGTGGTTGACTGCTGTTTAATCAATGGTTTAGTGCTATCAATATCTATAGGTTCTTCGAGAATGTCACTTTTTCTTTTATCAAGTCCAAGAGGACTACCAAATGAATCAATGCATGATGATGAATGCAAGTATTCTATGTGTTTTTTTAAAATACTTCTGGCTGAAGTAGTAAAAGGACACATCTTACATATGTAGGTGGCTGATTTTTTGGATGATCCTATAACAGAATCTTTCATGAAAGTCTTTTTTTGCGTTTTTCTCTGGGCTACATCAGAACTGACAATAGGGCATTTTACCACTGCTCCATGGGCAATGCCTCGATGGCATTCTAATTCATTTTCTGTCACTGCCATGAAGTTACACTCTTCACAACAGTAGTACCTTTTATCTTTTTCATGGGTTTTAGCATGTTGCACAAATGTTTTAGGGCAATTGGTACCAAACACACACTGAGGGCACTGTAGTCGTGCACTTCTTCCTTCATCCTGAAGTTCTTTCAATTCACGAATTTCCTCCATCAACTTCTGTCTTCTTTCTTGGTGAATGATCATATGCTTCAGAAGTGAGTTACGATCTCGAAATGTCCGTCCACATTCTCTACAAGCATATGGCCTTGGGACATTAAGATGGCGAAAGTGGCTATTCCCATCTAAATGATACATCATATGCCGGTGGAGGTGCTTTTTCTCCCTAAAATTCACATTGCACTTTGTACAGGGGTAGAATGATGGCTCTTCGGTGCTGAAAGTAGCAGGTGACTCGGAATCACTTTCTTCACATTTCTTTTTTAAGGTATTTGAAAGAAAAGTGCTAGTATGAACGGGTGAACTGTCTTCTCCACACTTATCTGGGTTATAAATTAGATGCTGAAAAGCATCTACAGATTCCAAGTCTTCATCAGTTGATTCAGGCTTCACTTTTGATAATGCATATTTCTGCGAGTCTATTGCTTGTAGTTCTTCATTCTGTTCCAGAAAGTCTACCTCTAGCATTTTTGACTTATTGGGTATACAATTAGAATCACTAAAGCAATCCTCAGTATAACGAGTAATCTTGCTTACATCCATTTTTCGCTTTCTCTTTTTCTCTAGACCTACTTTAGAGTGAACTGGAGCTTTATCCACTGTGTCTTCATTAGTCATAAGAAATTGAATGAACTCTTTTTGGGGATCCCAGTTTGTATCATTTTCTGACCTAAATTCATCTGTACCTGAGGAAATTCCTGTCAATGTATCGACACAATTATCTTTTACCAATAAATCATCACTATCTTCACCCACCTCTACTTGATTTATTAAAGTGCTATCTGACTTTATACTACTCCCTACTGAATTCTGAACGTCACAACCAACGGAAGCAGAGGTAGGTAGTTTTTTAATGGAATGGGTTGGATTTTTAGCATGTGCTACATCTGATAACAAAAATAAAACTTGGTGTTGACTTGCTTTCTGCGGTGTAGATAGTTGAAGATCAGGTGCCATCTTTAAAGTTGAACAAGATTCTGTTGTTGGCTGATCCACAGGTTGTCCAGTGGTTAATGAAACACTGCCTTTATTCATACTGGAAGTCTTAGCTAAGGAGGAGTGTAAAACTGGTCCATTAACAGCAGCTCCTTTAGGCATGATAAAGTTTTCACTAGAAACAGGAGGAGCACCAGCATGTATAAATAGAGTAGACTGGCCTCCACTTAAGGCTTTTTCAGATTTGTCCTTTGACAGTTCTTCAGGCAGAGTGAGCGTATTATTTTTCTGAAATGATGTTTGACAATCTTTTGGTTTATGAACTCCACTCTCTTTGTCTGAGATAAAACTGTTGTTATCTAGGAGTTCTTCTTTAGCACCAGTAATATCGGTGTTTATCTTCAAATCATCCATATTGTTGGCAAGCCCATTTAACACATTTAGTCTAGAAAATGGAAGAAAAAAAATTTAGATTTGCATGAAAGAAAAAATTCTATTAGAATGTATGGAGAGTTCAAAGCACACATTTTTATTAGTGTAACTCCACTGTTTATATCAAGATCCTAATAACTTTCCAAGAAGGAAGAAGCACTTGAAAAAATGTGAAAGACTTTAAAAGTATCTCAAAGGTTAATTTTTTTCTTTGTGCTAGGCAACAATGCCATATTGCATATCTACAAAACGTCTAGGGACAGCACCATTAGAAATGGCCACATTATACTGGGAATTGCCTGTCTCCTTGGAAGAATGTAAGCTCTTTGAGGGCAGGTCCTGTACCTAGTCACTCTCGTATCTCTAGAACCTTGCACAGTGCATGGCATAGGTGTTTAGGCAGTATTTGGTGAATAAAGTATTAACTTGTTGAATGAATAAAAACACTACTGCAAAATCAAAGCCAAAGTATGTAAGAGGAAAAACCGTTTTCTTCCTATGAAACATAGACACCCCATTCAAATAATGCAAATATCATCATGGTTCTGACTTCCCGACTCAGCAATTACAGCAAGGCCTTCAAGATATCCAATAATCCTCAAGTACAATTTAAAAAGAATCTGCTATTTGGCAACCCTAGGTATGAACTATCCGAAGTGCTGGCATAAAATTCCCTATCTCTTTTCCTTTTGTAAATGGTAGCAAGTACAGTTTATTCACTCTCCAAATATTTACTGAGCCCTTACCATGTGCCAGGCACTGCTTTATTATTAGGAATACCAGGAGTAAACAAGACAGACTAGGTTCCTGCTCTGATGAAGAATAGAGTCTTCCATTTTTCCTTCACAGTATTTTTAATTTGTATAACAGTAATACTATTTTATGATAGGAGGAACTGAATCTGATATTTAGAAATTAAAACATTTTCAATACAGTTCATTATTTCTAATATCTTTTATGGTACCAAATACATGCTCCGTAAAACATTAAGCCTAGTTAAAGAATAAAAGAATTGTTTCTAATTACTTTCTTATTTCACAATTTAGAATAAGTGCTTATAAATATGAGCTTACTCTTTCCATAAGATGTGTTCTTTAATACAATAAATATTACAAATAAATACTATAAATACCTGTCTTTGGCGTTATTATTTATACCAACAATTTTTCTGCCCCTTGTATGCCTCAGAATTCTGTTTTGAGATTGGCAAACTTCCACAGTAATAAAAATAGACGTCCAATAAGATCATATTCAATGATATCACCCCAAAATGGTGCTAATGCAGCACCCAGCAGGAGTCTCTACATCACATACACATAAGTTAAAAATGGGCAGCACATAAACATGTGTTAGGGAAGAGTGTGCAAATGTCAATGAAAAGAAAAGCAAACCTTGATGCTATACTATTACCCATTCCTGACATTTCTCATTAAATTACATAGAAAAGGTAAAATATCCAAAAAGGAATAATCTCATAAATCTGAAATGGACAAAAGAATTTTTAAAAAACTAGCCTGAAAGACACTTACTTTGTGTTCCTATTTATTATAATCACAGAGATAGACAAATATATACTCAGTCAATGTGAAAGCCTATATTAGCTTTTCTCAACAGGAAGCAATGTTGCTAACGAAGTGGTAAATTCAGTGTTAATGAGTGGCTTCACTGTTACCACCTCAGAGGTAATACCTTCTATGTTCCATGTTCCACCCATCTGTTCTGGTGTTAGAGGTTCAGAGATGGAACAGACGCTTCCCATTTAAAGCAACTTCATTGGTACCCCCTGAACAGCAGGGTGACAAACTATGAGAATATCATGTCTGCTTGGAGACTGCATTCTCATTACCAGAATGGCTTTATATGAGCCTTCCAAAGGTTCACATTCTAAAGATACCAAACTGTTTTGCTCAAAAACATAGAATATATGTATATGACATATCTTCTATCTATAAAACACATCTAGCAGAAGGAAAAACAAAAGATCAAATTAAATGTTGTTAAAATATAAAATGAAGTCTTTAACAAAGTTTTCCTTCACACCTAAAGAAATATACCTTACTTGAGCCCAAATTAATGATTACCTTTACTCAAAAATAGAGGTTATTCTTTTTCAGAATATTTATTAGCACATTAATATTAAAAATGTACTCCATCAGTTAAAAAGTATGCTATAAGAAATGGCTCTGTAAGCTGGTATCTTAGCAACAATAAAAACTTTTTCCTAGTTTAATTTTCAGAGTATATCTTAACTAAAAAATGTTAAAAATGCATTTTTTTCTTAACAGTATACAAAACTCATTGCTGTTGCAGTGAGATACAATGCAGAACACTGAACCATCAAAATCTGTTGCAGTGAATAATGGATCTAGAACTTCGACATCACAGATTATTTCCCTACATTCATGGACGGTTATGTAGCATGTAGGCAAGAAAGCATTTAACCTATAAGCTAATTTCACACTGTTTCAAATAGTTTTTCCAACTATCATTATGTAGTCAAATATATGTAACAGAGTCATCAACACCAGTTTATGTTAATATAACCAAGTAGGGGACATAGTTGAAGGTTGACATTAATCATTAAATTCAAAAAAGGGAAACTAATAAATTAAAATAATCAAACTAATGTTATATTGCTTGGACTCCTTAAATTTCAGTGAATTTGCTATACTAATTAGGATATTTTAATAAAATGCTTAGATACTATTACTATGTCCTCCTCCATGTAATCATATAACCACAGAATTTTTCTTTTAAATGAATTTTAAAATGTTCTTTAAAAAACTTCTCACACTTTATAAAAAGCTGCAAATGGAACTTTAATCTACATAAAACATATTTCAGTTCCTTGAAAATCGTAATGAGTTCTACAGCTGTAACTGCCTGTAGTTATATACTGTGAGCATTAAAAAAAATAGTACAAAGGTCAGATCTGTCTTCAAGATGACAGATCATCACTTTTATGCCTCAAGCTAGACTTATTGTCTTAGAAATTTCAAACATCAGTATTTTTGCAAACTATCAGCACTTGCTATAACACCCTCACTACACTACATCTTGAGGTTACTACAGAAGAAATGAGGTGATAATTGCATATTAACATAATTATTCTGTAATCCCTCTGAGCAAGCTTCCTAGGTCACTCAGTAATTCAGATTAGATACAACCTTCCTGTCATCAAATCTATGCTGTCCACTTTCTGTTCATGAATAATGTTTTATAGAAAATTAGCTTAATTTCATTCTTTTATGTACATTATTAATTGTATTTATTGCAAGTAGGTTAATATTTTGTGGGCACTTATTACATAATACCAACCTTTGTCGTGTAGTATAATTTCAGACAAAAATATAATTTGCCCTTATTCGACATTAGCTCATTAATAGCTGTATTACACAGCTATAAATAAATTATAATGTTGCCCACTAGCTGAGTTACAGTTAAGATCTGTCAGATTTTCACAAACCCCATTTCATTTAAATTATCCTTGAGAACACATGACAACTTCAGTTAGTCATATATGAGATTGGGTCAAGAAGAGAAAAACATTCACAACTGTCATTCCAATTACAAAACAAATCTTAATTAACAGAAATACTACAGCTACAATTACTGTGATATTTAAGTCCATATATACTGTACACAATGTACAAATATATATACCCAAGCCTCACCTAGTATATAATGCAAGTGAAGACAGAGTATACTATATAACCATATCATCCAGGCAGTATCCTACTCTGGATATATCTTTGAGAGAAAAATACTAAAAAAAATACAGAAATTCATAAGGGTATCCAGCATGCCACATGATGAAATAAAGAGAAAACTTGGTATGCTTAGTCTAGCAATTAGCCAGTACAATTAACAATCTTCAAATGTTTGAAGGTGTGGCATATAAAAGAAGATATGATCAATGTGTCTGAATCGTAAAGATGGATTTCATCTCAAGATTAAATAAACTAAAAACAGGAACCACTCAACACTGCAAAGGGTTGTTTTACACAACAGTGAGCTGAATGGCTCAGCAGCCTGGACTACTGTCAGGAACACTGCAGAAGGTAATATGGCATTGGCGACTGGATAAGATGATTTCTAACATCCTCTCTGATATGTACTATATAGGTTAAATTTTTGGTTATTACATTATTAACATTTAATATTATGTGAAATAATGAGCTAAAAATGGAAGTTAAAATTATACTAGTGGACTTTAAAAAGATCCTCTAAATTCATAATTACTTGAAATAATCCTTTAGTTAAATTGTAATACGTTGATAAGCTGAGTCTTGAACAATGATATGGCACTAAATGACTAACACACTGAGGCCACAGAACTATCTGCAATCATGAAAACTACATAGAAAGGTTTTTTTTTATTGGTAACACAAAAAAATGGTTAATGAGTTCAAATAAAAAGAAGAATACATAAATAATGAACAGAAAACTAAAGCAAGAATACACTGGGCACATAATGCTTTCTTCCCAGCAGCATGCAGCACTGCCATTACAAACTAATGATCTTTATGTAATTTTACCATCTACCATCAAACTACACTGAACTTGCCAAATAGTTTTGTTCCTGATGCCATGCATTATCCTCATTATTTAATAGGAAAATGTTACAAACAGTAAGGTACTAGATCATAAACACCTAGTAACACAAAGTGATTCTTAATGCCGAGTGTACTAAATACTTAACATAATCTGACACATCTCAAGAAGCAGGTAACTACAAGAAGAACAAAAGGTGGTAGGGAAGCTACAAAGGCCTAATTTTAACAACCTGACAAAATTATACAATAATGAGAAGCAAGAGTAGTTGAAAGACAAATGGATATTCACTTATCGAAGGCTAATTTCCTAATGAAGAGCTTTGTAATTTTAAGAGGCAAGGCAATAAACTGTAGTTGCAACCAAAGGAGAATGCTAAATCATATACAGCATGGAATGCCTGCTTATTGCTTTCATACAGTCAGAACAAGATAAGTGATCATCAGGGCACCTGGGTGG